TACGAAGCCGAATCGTCGCAAAAGGCTACACGGAGAAGATCGAGGACGAAGACTCCGTCTACGCCTCTATACGCCAAGTTCACGACGCTCCGGACACTTCTCGCGCTACAAATGTCACGACCAAACTGGATCGCGCGACTAGGTAACGTCTCTACAGCATTTCTACACGCACCCACCGCAAAAGACCACGATGGTAAACAACGTGACGTCTCCTTTGGCCACCTAAAGTCCACAACAGGACAAAATCTGGCGACTAACAAAAGCCATGTATGGACTACGCAGTTCACCAAAAGCATGGCAGGACTACCTGGCTGAAGTGTTACAAAAGCTCAGCTTTGTAAGACTAAAGTCAGAGCCTAACGTCTACACCAATGCGACTCGCGACTGCTACATCATGGTCTACGTGGACGCTACTGGTACTTGGAGACAAGACTGCGGTTGACTCCACGTTCGAGGCCGTCCAGAAACAGGTCCTACTCAAGCACATCGGCTACTTCGAACCTGGCAAACCACAACAATTTCTTGGAAGAAACATTGACCACTTCGGCAACTACTGCAACCTAGGACTAAAGGACTCCTACATCGACAACATGATCGAGGAGTCTGGAATGACCAACTTCAACACAGTGACCACTCCAGGAATCGCCCACTACAAACCAACAGTAGAAGATGAAGCACTTCTTGACCACGAACAACACAAAAGGTACAGAAGGATTGTTGGCAAACTTCAATGGTTAGCATACACACGACCAGACATCGCAGACTCTACAAAGGAACTAGCACGAGACCTCACAGCACCCACAGAATTTACTACGCGAATTGCACGGCACCAAGCGCTGCAAATTCACCATAGAACCAACAACAACACTCAGAGCAAACACCAACAACATCCTGGATCTCGACGTTCATGTCAATGCCGACTGGGCAGGATGCCCTACTACCAGGAAATCAACTTCAGGTTTCAACATCATCTCTTTAGGACCAACAGTTGCATTTGGCAGCAGAACACAAGCTACAATAGCACTCAGCTCAGCAGAGTCTGAACTCTACGCCATTTGCACGGGAGTTAATGAGGGACTACACCTCAGAGACTTCGTACTTGAAACCAATATTTGCAGCAAGCTAAACCTACGCACCCACACAGACCCCACAGCAGGCAAAAGCATTGCTAGACGACGAGGCGCTAGCAAACGAGCAAAGCACATCGACCTCAAACTTCTCTACACACAACACCTCATCAAACACGACATCATCAGAACCCTCAAGATCAACACACTTCACAACAGCGCAGATCTGTTTACCAAATACATCAGCAAGGAAACACTACACAGGCTCATCCAGAGCATTGGGATACGCATTTAGCACTACGACCGACCAGCGCAACACTTTCACAACAACAACAACAACAACGACTTTGAACATTTCTTGTGTGTAACAACACGACACCTTTGGTATGTAACTAACAGTAACTACATTACATGTCTGCATGCGCCGCCTGCCTGATAACTACTACTTAAGCTCATTTTGTTTTGCCTTGTTTCACTACATTTTGCATTCCACTGCAGCAATGGCCGCTCCATCCACTGCAGATGCTAAGATGGGGGATGCGACTACGCCTGACAGGGCGACTACAGTTGAGGTGGCGGTCAGTGACCATGGAACACCGCCCCCTCAGACCTACAACGAGTCCAACTACCGCTTTAACCACACCACTCTTGGCACCACGGCGCACTACCTGTCATGGAACAACGACACCTCACGGAGTACCACACAGCCACTCCACCACTGCCTAACCACACTCTCTACACTCAGTTTTTCACTGCACTTACACTGGAAGAGTATCAACTACTCTCGCAACAACAAGCGACTCCACTCTCACAGCTTGACTACACACGACCCATCCGCTGCATCCCAGGAGACCTCCGGATGCCCCACTACAATTCCACACTGCTCAGCGTTTCACTACCCAATGTCCACTACTACCACACAACTTCACTCCACACTACAACTGGCAACTCCAACTACGTCATCACCCAACTACAGATTGGACAACAACTTGTCCTGAGGTCTCTCACTTCAGGACAGTTTGTCCACTTCGCAAGGGGCTACATTTCCTACATGATGTCAGTACAACACAACTACTACCTCCCTACTACACAACATCCACAAACCATCTACAAGGTGGAACACGACGTGACTGCCTTCACCGACAACTACTGCCTGAGGAATAACTACATCTGGAACTACCACATGCCACTACTACTACCGGACTCCTCCACCTCTACAACCGCGACCAACTACACGACTGCCATTGCTACCATTCTCTGCAAGAGCACCCAATACTACGGTTTCACACTACTGACCATGACCAACCTCACACAACACCACAAGACAGAACTACATCGTTTCCTCAGGCGACCAACATATGACTTGCCCTGATTGACGATGAGAGGCTACAAGGCGCTCCCAACTACATGACAACCTTTTTCACCACCCGCTACTATGCGACCTTGGACAGTCAACTGCAGATGGTCCAAGCCTACCGCGCCCAGCACTGGGCACTACACGCTTGAGCTCCTGCTCAACTACATCCAGTAACTGCCTCGCGAACTCCATCCAGAACCTGCACTACTTTGTGCTGGGCCATGACCAGCGTGAGCTACTGAGAGCAGCTTACTACTTTTTTGTCACTTCAGTAGCATTGATGGACAACCATGGTTTTCATCACTACTGCCAATCCATGTTTTGCACTTCAGTTGAAAAGGTACTACAAAGACCTTTTAAATGAGGGGCTGTGTCAAACGTATGTTCGCTACTGCAGGCCTTGAGCTCACTACATCGCATGAGTGGCAGCTGCAGACTACATTGGTTGTTTGTTTGTTTGTTTGAACACTACAGCGCTTGCACTTGTAACAACAGTAAGGACTAATTTTAACGAAACAGAGAGAGAGAGAGAGAGAGAGAGAGAGAGACAGAGCGAGAGAGAGAGAGAGAGAGCGAGAGAGAGAGAGAGAGAGAGAAAGAGAGAGAGAGGGAGGATGGGGAGCAGAGGGAGGGAGCGAGGACGACAGAACATACAAGGGAAGCAGGAGAAAAGGGAGAGGACAATGTCGGTGGACTGAGCCGGAGGCTCTAAAGTCTTGCTGCATTGGTGTCTGCACGTTGCTCTCGTATCGGACCACAAACAGCAACAATGGTGCACACATCGCTACGAAGTTGAAGGCGTTAGGACGTGCCCCCTTTGGAGTGAACCTACGGGTAAAGGACAAGGTGAAGTGTATGCAAGCTAACCAAACGGCACCACACAAGCATGCGATAACTCTTTTATCCAAGCATTGTGTTGGTGCCGGGGACTCATCTTCCCCTGTGACTCCAGGCTGGGTGGGCCCAATGGCCACCCATTCAAATCATGAAGAAAAGGGTGTGCAGATTGATAGCCACCAAGGGGAAGTGAGTCGCCCACCGGCTCCGGTCACGGGAGCTTGCGTGGGCCCACACTACAGCAGACGCAGGAGAAAGACAAAGTCAGCACAGAGTTCCTGTTTTGGGACTCTATTCAACAGATCAAACCCCGCGAAGGTCGGCACGTGATTGGCCGCCCGTGTGGAGCAGGAACACCAACTTAGGGTTTCTTGGACCCAAGGGAGCAGCCATGACGTTGCCCTGATTGTCGCTGCCACAAATGTCCCTGGTCCGAGGCGCTTGCATCACTACAGCCCATCAAGAAGATTTTGGCAGGTACGGGGAGCACTGGACGAAGGGCGTGTTGAAGAGGAAGACGAACACAAAGTGCCAGTCCACTTTGGGGGAAGAGTGAGTAGAGAACCCTGAGCAGCAGCGCTGCCAGACGGCCCCAGTATGACTGGGCACTGGCCACGCCGTACGTGCCCACCTTGTTCACCCACCATTCCTCACCCAGCTTTTTGAGCACCTTCACCCTTCTGTGGGCCTTGCCTTTGAGCAGCACCCACTTGGTGCCCGGCTCTGGCCACTGCCATCCCTGGGGCCGCGGCTCTTGGCCCTCCAGCTCGGGTGCCGGAGGCACCCTGAGCTGCTGCCGCCTCTTTTGTGAGTGGGACCCCAATGAACTTATAGAAGAGGGACGCCGCCTCTTCCACGGTGATGGAGTGGGAAGGCATCGGGGAGGTCCTAGTAGCCCGGCTTGTCTTGCACCAGCGACAGGGAGATGGCCTTGGTCTCGTGGGCCGGGCCTGCCTGAGAGGCTGCCACAAAGCCTTTGAGCTTCTTCGCGGGTGGAGCCTCCACTTCCATCAGCATAGCAGCCTGCCGGGGGGGCCTGGTGGCCCAAGCCCATGGTACGGGGCCGGAGGCACCCAGGCCGGGGTCGGGGCCATCGAGTGCCACCTTCAGCTTCTCCAGGGTGTCGGTGAGGCCCTGCATCACGTCGGCTGCCGTGCAGGTCGGGGCCACCGAGGGTTCCTCCAACGTCCTCCTCCGTGAGCTACTCAAATGAAGACACCGTCGTTGCCGAAGACGCCATGGCGAATGAGGGGGAGGGATTAGAAAGTTCTTTTCAAGTCAAGAGGGTTCAATGAACCCACAGCAATGCTTGAGCCAAAACTTCATGTTTCCACATGTTCCAACATTAAACACATATTTGCGAGGGTGCATTGAGGGTTGAAGGCCAGGCGTAGCTGAATGCATCAAGATCGCTTTTCTTGCCCTTGGCCAATGATGGCCGCACCATTTCAATTGCCAAAAAGAGGGCACTGGCTCAAATCCAGCGCCGCCGCCGCCATCCTCGCTTGCTTCATGGGGAACACATCTCCGTCGCTGGTATGCAACTTGTAGCCTGACATTGCCGATATGACAAATGTCAAGTGTTTGCCGAATCCGCATCGAATTGCCTGCAATCCCGCCTCTGGCAACATCGTGCTTCTTTGCCCGCCCTTTCAAGCCGGGATACCTATGCCAGAAGGTTGCACCACGCCGCACAATTCAGCGCTCAGGCAAGCCAAGGTCACGAAACATTTTCCGCACTAATCGACTGGGAAATGGAGCAATGCCTCAGCACCATCATATCCAGGAACCCATCTGCTCAGCGGCTGCAGGTTTGGGCGCAGCCCAAGTTGCTCCACTTCTTCGTTCACGTCCCCTCCTTTGAGGTACAGAATGCCCGGGCCAACTTGATCCAACGGGTCGCCGTGGCGCAAAGTGCCGCGCAGGTTCTTGGCAACCAGCGGCACAAAATTCGGCAGACTCGTCACAGCGCGGCCAGTAACAAAGTCATACTGCTGCTGGACGCGTTCCACTTTCTGATGAAGTGGCAGCACGTTCTGCAAGCCAAGTGTGTTGCTAATTTCACTCACCACATTGACCTTCTTGCGCTGCGAGTCAAGCAGCACAAACCGCGCTTGCGGCGCACAAATCGCCGACACCAGGCCTGGCAAGCCGCCACCCGTGCCCACATCGAGCACTGTTTCACCCGGCTGAAAGCTCGCGGCCAGCGGAATCGCTACACACCTCGTACGATCCGGAAAATGCGAATAACATTTTTGCGAATAAATGCGAATAACATGCGCACTGCAAACATTTACATAGCTGAAATCCGAGCAACGGCAAGACATGCCGATGTAAAATTTCTGGCTCGTCTCGGATCTCCCGGGACATCAAATTTATCTTTGCATTCCAGTCCAGCAGCAAAGAAGCATATCTCTCCAACTGCTGCCTGGAGGTGGCAATTCTCAAAACCAGCTCAAACTTCTGGCTTGCTTTTGCGAGTTGCTGAGGTGCTGAGGTGCATTCAGGATACGCCTGGTCCCTCCCAACTAGCTGCGCAAGAAGCTCGGAGACTGGTGTTGAGAGCGCCCAGCTGCCTGGCATCTGAAGTTCAATCCCCTCCTTTTGCGTCACTCTTAACATCTCTCGACATCTCTCGACATCTCTCGACATCTCTCGACATCTCTCGACATCTCTCGAATTCTGAGCCCATCGCCAGGCAAGACGGCCAAAGTGGCGAAAGCGGTCAAGACCATGGCTCGGAAATGCTCACAATGACAAGGGCCGCAAGGGCTGGATGGCTCGCTTGACTTGAGCAATCGAAGATCACATCTGTTCCGAGCTCCCAAGCTCTTAGGCTGAAGCCAAGCAAGCAGATTAGCCCGGTCGAAGTGCCGCCAAAGCTGCTGCACGGACTCAGATTCAAATGTGTTCAAATGCATCATGCATTTAAACCAACTCCGGGGGACGAGGCTTGCCAACCGCGCAAGGCGTTGTTCTGCGGGTCCAGCAAGTGGCCGCCAACCCCTAGGCTCTATGGGCTCTGCACGCTTTCAATGTCCTCCAATGCCTGGGCAAGCTTTGTTGTGGGCCAGGTGGAGCTTGTCCAAGCCTACGAGTGTCGGTTTTTTTCCGAGAGCATTTAGCCGAGATCTAAGGATCTAAGCTCTGAGCAAGAGTCCCTTGCAACCTGACTTCTCGCGGAAGATGTGGGGCTGGCCAGTTCATTGCCACTTGCCACTTGCCACACAGCCCTCCGTGCCTTGCGACCCACTTTGCAGACTCGCAGCTTCACCAGCTCCTCACATCTCCATAGACAAACCCATGCTTCGCTATGCTTCGCTATGCTTCGCTATGCTTCGCTATGCTTTGCTATGCTTTGCTATGCTTCTCTGGGCCTTCTTGGCTGCCTGAGGCTTTGAAGGCCTGCAAGCCAGCGAGCTTCTCGAGCCTCTCCAACCTCCCCAGCTCCCCAGCCTTCTTTTCGCTTTCGCTTCCGCGTTCCTTGCTTTCACCTGAGCCAACATTGCCATCAACTCAGTAACTTGCATTGAATGAGATACACACCATCTTTGCCATGGCAGGCACCGCCGAACGCCGATAGAGGCCGGTGGCCGACAGTGGCCTACAAAAGCCGAAAGCTGTCTCTGGACCTTCGACGGTGCTTCGCAGGATGCTTCTTTGAGCCGCCACAAATGGCACGGAAAAGACATGACAACACATGACAACACATGACAAGACACAAGACTCGGACTTTTGGACTTTCCAATGCTGCTCGGAGTGCAGAGAGGACATGCCGATCTGTGGCGCCACCTGCTGCAACCCAGTCCTGGGCAAATCCGATGCGAAAGCCGCCGTGCAGCCGCCGTGCGACCCGAGTCCCAATTCGACGCCTCGTAGCGCTGCGCAGCTGTGTCCGGCAGTGGGGGCCGCGCTCGAGCACAGGCCGTGAGCACTGCCCAGAGATTGCACGCCTGGCGAAAAAAGAAAAAAAAAAACAAAAAAACATCTACACGCGAAGCAAACTCTCCTGGGGCTGAATGCCCCGATTCTGCATTTGCTGCCACAAGTGGTCCACATTGGGCAAGTCACCTAGGAAAACAAACGAAACCTTAGCTTCAAGGAGAGAGCTCGGGACAGAGCCCAGCAGCGCCCAGGCCCGCATAAGGATGGAATACGTGACCTCCTTGCAAGACCCTTGTTGCATTTCAGACATCAAGCCGCGAAATGGCGCAAAGCTCGGCAGGGCTGCATCTGGGATCAGGCCCAACTCGCTGCACAGGGCGTTCGCCTGAGTTTCATCCCGTCAATTCGTTTCGTCAATCATTCTCTTTATTTGTGCACCTCCTGCTCCAGATCATAGGCAGCTTGGGGGGCATCTGCAGCGCGGGCAGCTGCATCCAGCATCGAGTTGAAGCCTACTCAACCCGCACCCGAAGCATTGAAGCCGTGTCCATTGAGACCAAAGCCTCTCCCATCTGCCTGTAGCTGTGCTGCCGCCATGCGCTGTAGCCACAGCCTTGCATCTTGTCTCTCATGGCTCTTATCGCTCGCATGGCTGAGGCGCGTGCTTTGCTCTCTCCACATCTCCAGCTTTGGCCTCAACCGTTCGTTGCCTCTCGCACGCATTGAAATCATTGGATCCGGACAGCTGCCCCTATCACGGAGTTGTGCGCCACCAGGTCCACCTCCTTCAAGTTTCGCCTCGAGATTTTTCGATGAAATGCCAAAATGGGATATGAATGCCGCCTCATACACGCATACCAGCGCTCTGCACCGGCCATGTTGCCTTTGGAGCTATGCGCCCCGATGAGGAGACCGAAGGTCAAGGCCTCTCAGATTGCATCTCTCAGATCGCATCTCGCAGGTCTCTCGGGTCTCTGTCGCTGACATTCGGCCGCTTCTCCAAGTCGAATGTCAACATGCGCTCCATCACCGCATCGGGGTGTTTGGAGTCTGTCGTGCATCCAGATTTCCGCAATCTCTATGTTTGATTGTCTTCACGTGCATGTCCTTCCAAGAGTCAAACGGAAGGCTGACAATGGCTGCACAACATTAGAAAAAAAGAAGGAGTGCATGTGTGTGTGTGTGTGTGCGCATCCTATTCTTCGAGAATTGCTGACGTGCACTGGCGTGTAGGCGACAAGCTGTGAGATCATAGCATGAATTTCATTTGGGAGTGCTGTTGGAAGTTGCAAGCTCTATTCAACCAAGTTGAGGTGTGAAACCTCTCCTGAAACCACTCCGCCACAGGCATTCCTTCATCAGCTGGCTGTCTTTGCTCAAGAATGTCCACAATAGTGCTTGATGTAGCGAAATGAACAAAATGCATGTTGACGCTTATTGGCAATTTTGCATTGTCCACCTTGAAAATGGCCCGATGATACACGAAGCATGTTGCGGTTCTTCTGATATGCCAGAATTTCCTTGTCTAGCAGAATGCGTACATTGAACACGTCGTCTCCGTGGATCTGCATCGCAAGTTGGCCAGGCTTCAGGCCACTGGGTTCCTTCAGCACACGCCCGCGCGGCGCGTAGGCAAAACTGCGAAGTGCCGTGTGATTATGCGCCTTGCAATACAATACATTGTGTTGTTCTGTAAATGCGCAGGAGCCATTCCTTGGCATGTGTCCTGACACGCTTGCAGGTAAACTGGGATACAAATAAGCTAATCTTCCACAAAAAACAAGATGCGCTTGACGATCAAATCATGCATCAAACAGAAGTCCATCTGCGTCGTCAATCTTGTTGCGGTAGGAAAGGAGGTCCATTTGTTTCAGCGTGTGAGATGGTCATTGACTTGCTACCATGTTACAACGATTTCTATTTGTACCTGAAGACACAAACATGACAAAACAACGGCCCAATTGCGTTCGTCACACAAATCACTAACACAGCCAAGAGCTAGGTCGAGGTCTGTGAAGGACTTCGGGGAACAGCCAATCTTATTCACGCAAGTTTGGCGCAGTTCTGCGCCCAAAGTCTGCCAGCCCGGTGTTGCGGCCACCAGCGGATCTGACACACAGCTTAACTCCGGACGGGAGCGGAGCAGACACGATGAAAGGCAAGAGAACGGGGCACAGCGCTACATCATCAGACAGCATGAGCTCCGTGTAAAATTCCCACCCCCGGGCCAGAAACCCAAGAACGACCTGAAGGCAGGAAATGCTGACGCACGCAGCAAAAGACACGTAAAACGCCGTGACAGTGGGGAAAGCCCGCGCGTTGGCGCGCGCGTTTGCGGTCAACCGGGGCCCAAAACAAAGCTCAGTCAGGTAGATATTGGTGGATGGATCCAACACCATGCAAATGGACAACAAATCCTGCCAAATGAACTGATTGAAGTCTGAAAACGGCTTATCGACGTAGTGACAAAACGCGTGTTTATTGCAGAGCCGTACTTCATTTCCTGGAAGAAGCTGTGCGTGCTTAGGTTAATTCGGTGTTCAATCGTTGTAAGATGTGGTTCGGGCACGGACCTGTGCCCAGGCAATTGGGAGGTTCGGGTAAACAAGCCACAAAAGGAAAGACCCCAAAACAACAACCAATCCCATCCCCGGTCCCAAAGATCAGGGTTTCCCACACACAAGTCACGAAAAGTGCGACCCAAACCAAACCAAAAGGGAAAAGGATGCCCGCGACCTGGCGCACTCCCCGCCAACCTGCCCCGGGCCGAAGTCTCTCTCTCCTCCGACACGTGGGCGATCGACGGCGCCACAGGGCAGTCACCAACGCGACATTCCTGGCGACGTTTCAACACATGCCTCCCTAACCCACATAGGCAGTTGCGCGACATCCCGGGCATTAAATTCCCGCCACCAACATACCCAGTGAAAAGGCCCACGTAATGACAGTAGGTCACTGCTGTTTGCATCAAAGATGCGAGTTTTAGTCTTATCAGAAGCCATGTAGATGTTCAACAAAAAAGTTGATTAATAGCACCCTCGCCTGCACCCCTCTCACTCGCGCAACTCCAGGGTCATCTTCACCAGCAGCCCAGCTGCGGTCCAGAAGGAGAGCACTGCAAGTGAATGGCGGGTATATCGTGTTGTTAAATTGCCCCAACTGGTATGGTCTCGTATAGTTGGAAATGCAACTGCTGCGAGGTCAGCAGCGGGATTTGTTCGTTTATTAACATCTAACATTTCTGCTAAACCAGTGGCATAAGTATGTCGCCAGTCATCATCCCAACGAGGAGTAGCACTACTTTCTAAGTCGTCCATATCTCCAGCATCTTGACTCTTGAAGGACTTATATAACTCGCAGCGTCTATTATATTCAATAATATCTTGCACTTCTTGCCCGCCTACAATGCATCTGTAACGACTAAAGAAGGATTATAAATTGCCTAATGGTCGTGAAAAATGACTTTGTGTTCCGTCAGTGTTTTGATAACCTAAGAGAAGATAAATCAAGATATGTGTTGTCTTCTCCTGAAATATGAAATCTAATATTTGTGTTTCCTGCATTTGGATTATAAACATTGCTACCCGATGGAAAACAATTAACGTGTCTTCTGTCCGTGATATATTGTGCTGTTTCAGCGAGTCCAACATTTAATGAGTTAATCATTGTAGGCTCACTTTCTGCAATTATATTATCCATTACTTGTATATGATGATATCTATTTTGATTTTTTTATACTGTTCTTATGTGGAAGCATTGTAATAGAATTATTTGAAGTTGTATTTGTTATAGTATTTGTTAAATAGTTAATTTTTGTATCAACTATATCTTTTAAAGTATGATAATCTAAATGTCTATATTGTTTATCGTATTTTGTAGGTTCTTTTGTCAGCTTCTTCTCTACTGGAATTTTGTTTTGCTTGTCTATATTTCCTAGATCAATATTAATATTATTGATATTTTATTGTTTCGGTGTTGAATTAGGGCCAAAACCATTAGAAACATCAGTAGTATCATTAATTTCAGTCATACCTTGCCCTTTCCAATTTTGATAACCGTGGTTTTCTAGCACATCTGATGAACCAATGTCAGCAGCAATCGCGGCATCATTTCTGTTGACTAATTCCTGAGACAAAAGGTGATGATTACACAGTAGTAGCATATTTGTTTTCGTGTCTGTTGTTTATTTCTTGAACAACGGATGCGCCGAGGTCACAGCATTGCGTCCTTATATATTTCGCTTAATTGAACATTATGAGCAGGAATGAAAAACACATCTGCAATGACATTGTTGGCGTTGTGATTTAGTCCCGTTTTAGCACCAATGCCACCAAGAAAATAAAGTGTTTCCTGCGCTTGTTATTCCGTTCACATTTGAATACGCGGCGTCTAATCCCTTGACATCATCAATGTTGTTTTTATCTTGGATGTTGATTTCTTCAACATAGCTTGTTTTATACTCCATTGTTTGCTTCTCAAAATGTTTATTGAAACCTCCTAGTTTAGCTTCCAATCTATTTTTATGATGAAAATACATCCTCTAATAAATCCTTACCTGCCGTATATGTCGTATCACTTGCTACACCTGCCATTATTTGTGTAGGCGTCATGCCTTCTATAGCACCTAATACTATCTGTCGTCCTATCATATAACAAAAACTATAATATTATTTCTGTTGCGATTTAAATTTATGTTTTTAGACAATAACAAGTCAATAAATACTATGGGTGCGGTATGAAAATGGTAATATCATAACAAACCTAACAGCACAACACAAAGATAACGAATATACGCACACATTAGATAATATCATGCAATTTGATATTCTATCTATCTAACCTTGCCCGTCTTTCCGCCATAGATATTCCCCCAAGACTTCCGTTTGAATTTGGATACTTCGGGGTGGCCTTTAGCATCACCTCAAAACCATTACAGCAGTAATTTCGGCTGTTTACATCCTTTCTTGGAATTTTGGGTCCGGAAAGGAAAGACATCATTTTTGCGAGGAAAGCAGAATAGGCCAGACCGTAACTCGGGTCCCTACAATAAAATGACGTGCTTCTGCAGATTCTTTTTGAGGGGGCGGGGCGCGGCCAGGTGCGAGTGTCGCAATCGCACCTGGTCGAGCTGGGTCAATTTTGCCATGAAGCCACCCAGCCACTCAGCCAGTGGGAAGCAACCCAGCCGCTCAGAAGCCACTCAACCGCCAGGAAGCCACTCAGCCACTTGGAGCCAGCCACTTAAACTCCGCCGGGAAGCCACTTAGCCACCTAGCCGCTTAGCCACTCAGCCAACGGGAAGCCACTTTGCCACCACCGGGAAGCCACTTAGCCACTTAGCCACTTAGCCACTCTTAAAAGTGGCTAAGTGGCTAGATCTACGGCGCATCGATTCGGACACTTCCCGACAAATCGTAGCAATGCCTGCGTGAGCAGGCGAAGCCAGTGGGGATCGACCAACCAATCGAGGGCCAGCCAAAGACCTAGCCTCCGAACGGAGCTCGTCAGAGTCCCTCTTCATGACCTGCCTATCCCGCATGACATTCTCCACTCACGACACAGCAGCCCTGCTCTCATCTTCGAGCTTCTGGATCTTCTTCATTGTCCACACATGATGATCCCAAGAGCAGACATCCAGTACCCACGACACACTTCCCAGCTTGGGGCTGGATCTCCTTGCTTGAGCTTGACGTTCCCTATTGGGCAACCCTCCTTCTCCCCATAATTGAGGAGTGAACTCTGAACCTTAGTGGCTCAGCATCGCTCGGCTCTCGCCCTAACGACCTCAGCATCCTCAGCATCATGAGAGCTGGTCTCAATACGGCCATGCATAGATCCGTGGAACGTTGGGAGTCAAAAGCAGCATCCAAACTCGGCCAACTCTGATGAGTCCTAGCCCTAGGCGAACGAGGAGCCTGGTCTACAGCCATCCTTTGGGGGATATCCTCCTCCTTGTCAGAAGCATCCATACGTGCCACATCAGGCCCACTACTATCAGATTCCGCCTATCGGCAGCAACTTAGACGTGTGGCGAGCCCAAGGTGGTTTGCAAGCTTTCCATGAACTCATACCTAACGGTCCAATAGCGGGTTAGGATTCCTCTTCATCAACCTGCCCAGGATTCTGGAACTGTCCCTGGAAATTTTTCCTGTCCTCGGCTGACGTCCTCCTCGACCGGTTGTTCTCCTGTAGTCCTCAAGTTGTTCTGCTGGGACTGGACACTGCGTTCTTGATGGTGTGAAGAGTGTCTTCCTGTGTTGCCTGTGTACTCTGACAAGTTCGACTTTTGTGTTGAACTGCCAGTAGTCTCCTGCATATCCTGTATCTGCAGGGCCTTGCGGTGTAAGCGTTGTGGTCGGTGCTATCATGCAAATCTGTCCTGGTTCTGTGCTGTGTGTCTGTAGCTTTGGTCCTTTTGGCAATGTTGTCATTTCTGCTTGTAGGAAGAACAGGCCATTTCTGTTCTCCAGTGTGCTGTTGAATCCTTTGATGTGTTGTAGCCTTGGATTGTCATCCAATGTAAGTTGGAAGCCTTGTTCCACCAGCCTTGTAGCTGAAAGAATCGGCTGTTTAACCTCACAAACATAAAACGGTATGACAATCTGTTGTCCGCTGTGGTTTGTCACGCAAACCCATCTGTACCCGAAAAGCTTGATGTGTTGGTGGCCGGACAGGATGAGGTTCCTCAAAAGCTCCAGCCGGGCTCCCAATGTGCATCGCAAAGCTGATGTAGTCGTCCTCGTCCGCGGAGCCGCCCCAATCGGAGCGAGCTCGTTGGGATTGCTCATCATCAGTAACCTGACGGAACAATCGATCATCACTTTCGTCCACAAACCCGCTTCGTCCACAAGTCCGGCATCCCTTCACCTAGTCGGGGGGCACCTAGGATGGCCTCCTCATCCGATGGACGCTTTTGGAGCTTCGCGGGGTCGACGTCTAACCTGTGGTTCGGGCACGGACCTGTGCCCAGGCAATTGGGAAGTTGGGGTAAACAAGCCACAAAAGAAAGACCCCAAAACAACAACCAATCCCCAGTCCCAAAGATCAGGGTTTCCCACACACAAGTGACCAAACAACCACAATCCAAACCAAACCAAAAGGGAAAAGGATACCCGCACGTGGGTGATCGACGTGGGGACCCGGAGACGCTCATCCGAGGTCGCGACGGATCCGAACTTGAGCCAAACGCCTCAGGGCAGTCACTAACGCGACATTCCTGATGACGCTTCAACACATGGCTAATCACATAAGAGGTTGTTGAAGTTCGGCTTCTGCTTTGATTAGAGAAGCTGCACCGCTGGATCCGCTGTTGGTCGCAAAACTCAATCTACAAGTGCAATTCATCACGCAGCCTGGCTTGAACGAATCTCCCAGACTAAAGTCACATCCGTCGCCAAATCAACTTCTATGCTTGCTATAATAGGCTTTTGCAATAGCCATTCCTGCTTGCGCAACCTCTTAAGTAGCCTTGCGAGCCACATATTTGGCTTCTGTTACCTAAGTACATTATTCTTGACCGGGTTCCTGGGACCCCTTTTATATCTGCGTAACGCACCTGCTGAAAGCCTTGCGCGGACAGAACCTTCATTCTGCAAATGACAGGTTTGCTTCTGCATTTGTGCAAGTGGCACGAACAACCAGCAGCTGTGGTTTTTGGCCTTACTCTTCCGGTTCAATTTTCACACAGACTCAAAGGCGACGTGACCGTAGACAAACCGAAGAAAAACCATAGAACAACAGGCACGCTATCCTGAAATGCCTGTTGTGGGTAGAAATCCAGGCTGCCACGCTGCTTTTTTTGGTTCTGAGGGGGTGGGCCGGAAGGACAAAAGAGGGTTCACCTTCACGCGCTGCATAGCCACGTTCAGAAGCAGCGCACGAAGTGGCATGGCAACATGGGGTCCAACATTGACTGCGCAAGTTGTCAAACACATTGCTGCAGAAACGTATGTGCTATCCGACTTTGGGAAAAAAGAAAGGGGTTGTCACAACGCACATGTTTAACAAGCAAACAAATAGGTTCGATCTCGCAATGCGCGGCACTGATGTCCCGCTCTCTCCAAACACGGCGGGCTCGCTCCCGTGCCTCAGGCCCCGTTGCACGGTTCCGGGGTTTGGTTCTGGTTAGGTGCTTGGCTTCCAGCGAATTCAGATGCGCTTGCAGCACCGCAGTGTAAGTCACCACCTTTCCGGCCAGGGTTGGGTAGAAATCTCACGCTTAGCCGCTGGCATTTGTCTGCATGCCACGTCGTTCCATCTCTTGAAGACTACCCTCTGCCCTGGTGGAAACGAAGGCGGAACGACTTCCCTCACGCGCGCATGCCTCTCGACGTCACCCACGGCCGCGCAGGCGGAGATAAAGGTGGTGTGGGCCTAACGACTGGCCAAGACCGATCGTGAGACAAATTGGGGCCCCCGGCAATGGCATCCAGAGGCACCTCACAGCTCCAACTCAGGCCATGCGCTTCCATCCAAATTGCCTGGGCGCGGTGGAAGCGCTTCATCCACGCCTGAGGCAAGAATCGGCTGTGCCAAGACTTGCGTGAGATGAGCCTCTGTGCGCTGCATCTCAAGCTTGGCCCAAGCGTTCAGCAAGGCAGTACCTGACTCACTGACACACGCTCATCTGAAATGTTTGACGAGGACGAGCAGAGATAATGCGGATAGGGGCGACACCGGGTCTCACTCAAGGCCCTGATGAGGCTCAGGTCTCACAGGCTTCCGAGGATCCAGTCTCGCCGCTACTGTCTGGGGTATCTGCCTATGAGGGGCTACCGGTGCAGGAAGGATCCAAGTCAAGTTCAAGCCAAAGATTGAGTTACAGGATCAAGACGGAAACTAGACACGCCATCTCACAGAATCGAACAGCGTGATCTGCATCCACATCGACATGTCTGAATGCTTTGTCATCAAAATTTCTTTCGGGGACAGATTGTGGTGGAACAGTTTGTTAAAGACTTTGTCATCTTGGGCCAGTTTTGCGCTTTTGACGTTTTTTGACGGATTCTGTCGGCGTTTGCCGGTTTTTGTCGGTATTTGTCGGTATTTGTCGGTGTTTGTCGGATTTTGTCGGCAACTTGTCATTTTCAACGTTTGGCTTTCGTTCTTGTTCGTTCCTTTAGCTTAGTGCTTGCTGTTGTTGCTGTTGTTGCTGTTGTCAATTGTTAGTTGTGTGACGTTTGTTGCTGGTTGTTTATAGTTTGTTGTTTGTTTGTTTGCTTGCTTGTTTGTGTGTTTGTTTGCTTGTTTGATTGTTTGTTTGTTTGTTTGTTCGCTCGTTCGTTTGTTTGTGTTTGTCTGTTTGTTTGTTTGTTTGTTTGCTTGTTTGTTTCGGTTGGTTGGTTGGCTGGTTGATTTGTTTGATTGATTGATTGATTGATTGATTGATTGATGGACTGATTCATTGATTGATTGACTGACTGACTGACTGACTGACTGTTTGAGTCATTCATTCACTCACTCATTCATTCATGCATTCTTTCATTCAGTCAGTCAGTCAGTCAGTGAGTCATGCATTCATTCATTTCAATCATTGAATTCATTCAGTCATTCATCCATCCATCCATCCATCCATCCACGCATCCATTCATTCACTCATTCATTCCTTCCTTCCTTACATTCATTCATTCATTCCATTCCATTCCATTCCAATCCATTCCATTCCATTCATTCAATATTTCACTCATTCATTCATTCATTCATTGACTCACTCATTCACTCATTATTGTTTGTGTATTGTATTATTATATTTTATTGTTGCTACTTAACTCTCTTTTATTTCATTCCATCCCATTCCATTCCGTTCCGTTCCATTCCATTCCATGCCATTCCATTCATTCATTCACTCAGTCATTCACTCACTCATTCATTCATTCAATCATTCCATCATTAATTCATTCATTCATTCGTTCATTCATTCATTCATTCGTTCGTTCGTTCGTTCATTCATTCATTCATTCATTCATTCATTCATTCATTCATTCATTCATTCATTCATCAGTCAGTCATTCATTCATTCATTCATTCATTCATTCATTCATTCATTCATTCATTCATTCATTCATTCATTCATGTTATTTCTTTCCATTCCATTCCATTCCACTCCACTCCACTCCACTCCATTGCATTCATTCATTCATTCATTCGTTCGTACATTCATTCATTCATTCATTCGTTCGTTCGTTCGTTCGTTCGTTCGTTCGTTCATTCATTCATTCATTCATTCATTCATTCATTCATTCATTCATTCATTCATTCATTCATTCATTCATTCATTCATTCATTCATTCATTCATTCATTCATTCATTCATTCATTCATTCATTCATTCATTCATTCATTCATTCATTCATTCATTCATTCATTCATTCATTCATTCATTCATTCATTCATTCATTCATTCATTCATTCATTCATTCATTCATTCATTCATTCATTCATTCATTCATTCATTCATTCATTCATTCTTTTCATTCATTTCATTCATTTCATTTCATTCATTCATTCATTCATTCATTCATTCAATCATTCATTCAATCAATTCATGCATTCATGCATTCATGCATTCATGCATTCATGCATTCATGCATTGATGCATTCATGCATTCATGCATTCATGTTACTTCATTCCATTCCATTCCATTTCATTCCATTTCATTCCATTCCATTCCACTCCATTCCACTCCATTCTTTCATCATGACGCAACATTTGCAGCGATGCTTTGGAAGAGAAATGAGGCAAAAATTTGCAGCGATGCTTTGGAAAAGAAATGAGGCAACGTTTGCAGCGATGCTTTGGAAGAGAAATGAGGCAAAATTTGCAGCGATGCTTTGGAAGAGAAATGAGGCAACATTTGCAGCGATGCTTTGGAAGAGAAATGAGGCAACATTTGCAGCGATGCTCTGAAAGAGAAATGAGGCAAACTGTGCAGCGATGCTTTGGAAGAGAAATGAGGCAAAATTTGCAGCGATGCTTTGGATGAGAAATGAGGCAAAATTTGCAGCGATGCTTTGAAAGAGAAATGAGGCAAACTGCGCAGCGATGCTTTGGAAGAGAAATGAGGCAAAATTTGCAGCGATGCTTTGGAAGAGATATGAGGCAACATTTGCAGCGATGCTTTGGAAGAGAAATGAGGCAAAATTTGCAGCGATGCTTTGGAAGAGATATGAGGCAACATTTGCAGCGATGCTTTGGAAGAGAAATGAGCCAAAATTTGCAGTGCTGCTTTGGAAGAGAAATGAGGCACAATTTGCAGCGATGCTTTGGAAGAGAAATGAGGCAACATTTGCAGCGATGCTCTGAAGAGAAATGAGGCAAACTTGCAGCGATGCTTTGGAAGAGAAATGAGGCAAAATGTGGCAGCGATGCTTTGGAAGAGAAATGAGGCAAAATCTGCAGCGATGCTTTGGAAAGAAATGAGGCAAAATTTGCAGCGATGCTTTGGAAGAGAAATGAGGCAAAATTTGCAGCGATGCTTTGGAAGAGAAATGAGGCAAAATGTGCAGCGATGCTTTGGAAGAGAAATGGGGCAAAATGTGCAGCGATGCTTTGGAAGAGAAATGAGGCAACATTTGCAGCGATGCTTTGGAAGAGAAATGAGGCGCAATTTGCAGCGATGCTTTGGAAGATAAATGAGGCAAAATTTGCAGCGATGCTTTGGAAGAGAAATGATGCAAAATTCGCAGCGATGCTTTGGAAGAGAAATGAGGCAACATTTGCAGCGATGCTTTGGAAGAGAAATGAGGCAAAATGTGCAGCGATGCTTTGAAAGAGAAATGAGGCAAAGTTTGCAGCGATGCTTTGGAAGAGAAAGGCAAAACCAGCAGCGATGCTTTGGAAGAGAAATGAGGCAACATTTGCGGCGATGCTTTGGAAGAGAAATGAGGCAAAAATTGCAGCGATGCTTTGGAAGAGAAATGAGGCAACATTTGCAGCGATGCTTTGGAAGAGAAATGAGGCAAAACCAGCAGCGATGCTTTGGAAGAGAAATGAGGCACAATTTGCAGCAATGCTTTGGAAGAGAAATGAGGCAAAATTTGCAGCGATGCTTTGGAAGAGAAATGAGGCAACATTTGCAGCAATGCTTTGGAAGAGAAATGAGGCAAAATTTGCAGCGATGCTTTGGAAGAGAAATGAGGCAACATTTGCAGCGATGCTTTGGAAGAGAAATGAGGCAAAATTTGCAGCGATGCTTTGGAAGAGAAATGAGGCAACATTTGCAGCGATGCTTTGGAAGAGAAATGAGGCAAAATTTGCAGCGATGCTTTGGAAGCAGAAGAGAAATGAGGCAAAATTTGCAGCGATGCTTTGGAAGAGAAATGAGGCAAAATTTGCAGCGATGCTTTGGAAGAGAAATGAGGCAAAATTTGCAGCGATGCTTTGGAAGAGAAATGAGGCAATTTGCAGCGATGCTTTGGAAGAGAAATGAGCAAATTTGCAGCGATGCTTTGGAAGAGAAATGAGGCACAATTTGCAGCGATGCTTTGGAAGAGAAATGAGGCAAATTTGCAGCGATGCTTTGGAAGAGAAATGAGGCAAAATTTGCAGCGATGCTTTGGAAGAGAAATGAGGCAAACTTTGCAGCGATGCTTTGGAAGAGAAATGAGGCAAAATTTGCAGCGCTGCTTTGGAAGAGAAATGAGGCAAAATTTGCAGCGATGCTTTGGAAGAGAAATGAGGCAAAATTTGCAGCGATGCTTTGGAAGAGAAATGAGGCAAAATTTGCAGCGATGCTTTGGAAGAGAAATGAGGCAAAATTTGCAGCGATGCTTTGGAAGAGAAATGAGGCAAAATCTGCAGCGATGCTTTGGAAGAGAAATGAGGCAAAATTTGCAGCGATGCTTTGGAAGAGAAATGAGGCAAAATTTGCAGCGATGCTTTGGAAGAGAAATGAGGCAAAATGTGCAGCGATGCTTTGGAAGAGAAATGAGGCAAAATTTGCAGCGATGCGTTGGAAGAGAAATGATGCAAAATTTGCAGCGATGCTCTGAAAGAGAAATGAGGCACAATTTGCAGCGATGCTTTGGAAGAGAAATGAGGCAAAATTTGCAGCGATGCTTTGGAAGAGAAATGAGGCAAAATTCGCAGCGATGCTTTGGAAGAGAAATGAGGCAAAATTTGCAGCGATGCTTTGGAAGAGAAATGAGGCAAAATTTGCAGCGATGCTTTGGAAGAGAAATGAGGCAAAATTTGCAGCGATGCTTTGGAAAAGAAATGAGGCAAAATTTGCAGCGATGCTTTGGAAGAGAAATGAGGCAAAATTGCAGCGATGCTTTGGAAGATAAATGAGGCAAAATTTGCAGCGATGCTTTGGAAGAGAAATGAGGCAAAATTCGCAGCGATGCTTTGGAAGAGAAATGAGGCAAAATTTGCAGCGATGCTTTGGAAGAGAAATGAGGCAAAATGTGCAGCGATGCTTTGAAAGAGAAATGAGGCAAAACCAGCAGCGATGCTTTGGAAGAGAAATGAGGCAAAATTTGCGGCGATGCTTTGGAAGAGAAATGAGGCAAAATCTGCAGCGATGCTTTGGAAGAGAAACGAGGCAAAATTTGCAGCGATGCTCTGGAAGAGAAATGAGGCAAAATTTGCAGCGATGCTTTGGAAG